AGGGGAGGGGAGCAGGAGAGACAAAGGGTGGAGGAGGTGATGTGGTCAGGTGGGCACTGAGCCAGAGACCACTGGGGGACACCCAGCCAGCACATCCCTGCCCCTGCTCTGAAGAAGGCCCTGCAGGTAGAGGCCTGGAGGAGCAGGGTCAGGCCAGGATGTGGACTCAGGGCTTGGAAGCCACCGAACTGGGGACTTACTGCTCTTCCCGGCAGTGGACACAGAGTTCGTGTCAGGGAGGGAGGACTACAGGAGAGGGGGACCCTCAGGAGCTGCAGGTGCCCCCAAGCAGGCCACAAAGTCAGAGAGGGTGCCTGACTACACGGCCTCTGGGGTTCACAGACCTTGGCCAGGGCCCTCCCAGAGGCCAGTCACAGCAGCCTGGCCACCAGGCCGGTGAGCCTGTTCTGCCCAGCCTCCACAGGGGGTCACATTCCTGGGCTCCCAGGCTCCTGGCCATATAAGGCTGCCTGTGGGCACCTCTGAGAGGGACTCACCCACCCCCGTGGGAACCAGAGCTTGGCCAGGCACCACAGACCAAGGGGGCAGCTCCCTGGAGCCTGGTCCTGTGAACAGGCTGGGCTGGGGTCCTGGTGCCACTGCGGCTTCTTCCAGCAACACTCCCCCACCCCACCCCACCTCCACCAGAGGCCCTGGTTTCTCAGGCTGCCCAGTCCTGGGCTTAGGGCAAGATGGGGGAATGGGCAAGGGAGGACTGGGCCGGGGACGAAGGTTCAGGGGACATGAAGTGAGCCTGGCTGTCTGATCTGGGTGCTGCACTGATGTTGGGGAGTGGGGTCGGGTAGGGGACTGCTTACACCAGGCTCCTTTACAGGGCCTCCACCTGTGCTCCCTACAGAGCTGGCATGGGGACGCCTCAGCGAGGTGCCCTGGGGGCCTGTCAGCTGGAGGGGTGCCATGGGGTAGGGTCCTGACAGGATGATTGGAGGTCTGCCCCGCCTCGGGTTGCCGCCAACCCCGGGAGTGTTCCGTGGCAGATACTGGTGGGTTTGACTCTCAGGCTGGTCAGGTTCCTGGAGGTGCACCGCAGGCAGCCCTCCCTGAGCTTCCAGCACCTCCGGGTGGGGAGCGGGCTACATCATCCGTGTCCCAGGGCTCGCTCCAACTTGTTTCCAGAGGCTGATCCTGAAGCTGGGATTCCAGGAGCCTTCTGGGCACCCATCTTTACCAGGGCCTAAGAGGAGTTGGGCAGACAGATAGCTGACAGCCGTAGAGCCAGCCACCACAGGCTCTGGGCTTCCTGGGAGCAGGTGGGGTCAGAGGATGGCCAGACAGCGGGACGACAGGGCAACTAGGTGTTCTGGGTAGAGGTGGCCCTGTTAGTCCTGTGCAGCTGTCGGCAACCAGCCCAGACCTGTGGAAGGTGAGTGGGCACCTTGCCCTGCCCAGCCGGGGGGCCACTGAGCGGTACTTGCTTTCTCCAAGGACACGTGGGAAGCCGACCAGGCACGGGCGGAGGACAGAGGACTGAGGGCCAGCCAACAGTGCCCTCAGTTGCATGGCTGCTATCTCCAGGGCTTCCCGGTACAGGGGGCCGCTCTGATTCTCCCAGTTCTTCTCCTAGTTCTAAATCACCATGTCCAGTCACCTGCCTCCCCCCACCCCATATCAGGCATTATCTGTGCGGCACTGACCACCCAGGGCCAGGTTCGGGCAGGCGGGCAGGCTGGCAGCATGAACAAGTCTCAGGCTTCTCTGAGCCCTGGCCCCTGAAGAGGACAAACGAGCCCTTCTCTGGGCTCTGAGGAGACCATGCCCTCAAGGCTCAGCCTCGCACTGTGTCTGGAGCTGTGTGGCCAGTAGCTTGGCACAGGCCGCTGGCAAGGTGCCCTGCTGGAGCAGAGGTGCTCTGGGAATGATACAGAGCCAGGGAGTATGTACATGGGCCAACCTGTGGCTCCTTGCCCGACACAGCTGGTGGCCTAGGGCATCAACTCTCAGGCCTCAGGAGTGCTGGGGCCTAGAGAGTGGCCCCTGGGCAGAGGCAAGCTCTGTCTTCCCTGAGCCACCAGCCAAGAAGTGTGTGTGGGCCCTTGGGTGGGAGGCAGTGGCACCTGGGGTGGGGGGTGGGACTCCAGCAGTCCTGGCCAGCTGAGAGCCACAAGAGAGCTCCCTGTTGGCGAAGATGGCCCCGAGGCCTGTTCCCCATCTCCCAGTGTCCCAGTGTCCTCCCCCAGGACTGGGCAGGACGATGGCTTTCTTTCTGAGCCAACAGCCTGAACTGGTCGTCTGGCATCCAGTCCCTGAGTCACGCAGGAAGGACAGTCCGTGGCTGACATTCCCCAAGCCTCCCTCACAGAGACAAAGCAGAGACCCGCAGGGCTGCCCTGCCAGCCCCACGGGACCAGGCGGAGTCCAGCTGAGTCCAGCAGAGACCAGCGCAGTCAGCTGCCCCAGGGCGCCGCTCCCCTGCTCACACGCACTCGTGCGCGCACACACTGACCGAGATGCTTTGCGGCCCTGTGGGTGGGTGGCACCCACTGGGAACACCCTGCAGCCCAGGGAGAGTGGGGGCTTGGGGACTAGGGGTTCAGGACAGTCATGTGCATTCAGCTGGAAGTACTCTGCTGGGCGGGTGTTTGAGTGTGACTGTGTGTGTGTGTGAGTGTGTGCAGGACTGTGAGTGTGGGAAGCCGTTTGCAATCGCGAATGTATTGACAGCTGCTCCTGAGACTAAACTCAGGGCACTTTCTGCCCTCATGGCTCCCACAGCTGCCAGGCGGGGCACTGGACAGGGGTGCAGGGAGG